TGTGCAGGACTGGTCCCGCTTATTACTGGATGCCTCCAAGACCTGCATGACAGAGAGGACTATGCTGGCGGCACCAACGCCAAATGCTCTGCAAGAAGCGTGACTAAAACTAGGAAACAAGTTTACTCCCAGAGGCCAGGCAAAGCAGGAGGTAATAAGACTGTAAAGATATTATGGGATTTTTTCAACTTTTACTACTCAGGAAGCATATTCAGGAAGACCAGATATAGAATCATATGGTGGTTATAAAATAGAAGGAGGGAGAGTGCTCTGTCATAGATTTGTCAATCCCCAGTTTTTTAAAATGTTCCAATGAAAATTGTAAGGGAGAAATGGGCATATGTGAGCAGTTAGAGCAGGAACTGGAAAAGATGAGGAGCATGTCAAGTTTAAGTGTGATATCCATTAATTGAACCATGGTGGGACTGTCTGCTGGAGTGATCACAACAGCATCTTGGCGACCACAATTAAACCATGCAAAAACAACGGGTGTTTCACAAAGCATCACTGGTAGAAGCAAATTACAAAGGTACATGATACAACCCCCAGCTGAAGGTTGTTTGGGCAAATTTAGACCCTCATCAACAATTTGTGTTCCCTACTCCAAAGAAACCTGCTAATGAAAGGAAATTATTTTTTTAAAAAAAGGAGTCTGTAAACCTATTCAGAGCAATATGCTTGTTGAACTCTTTGCAAAGTGCTTAGTATACTTTGAGCACTCCATAAATAATGATGATCACTTCCCCACTGCGATGGCCACTACAGCACTTCATCTTTATTCTTTGTTGACATGAGTCTTGCTAATGAATTAAGTGTATTATATACTATGAGTATTTTGAGTGCAGCTAACCTCAGAACATATATATCACTCATTCCCAGTGTATATTAAGTTTCAATTAACTATGAAACTAGAAGCAATCAGTCTACTGAAAATCAAAAAACACTTCTTCAGTAGAGAATACTTCTGTAAATATCATTAATAATAAATTGGTTAAGTATGAGGATTTTACATCAAGCTTGTTAAATGTGAGAGAAGGGGAGGTGTAAACAGAAGCTAAACCTTGGGTGGATTCAACTGTTTTCATTTTTGCCTAGGACCAGACAGTGATGGAAGGTAATCTTGGTCTACCAAAAAAAGAATTCTGAAGGACAGGGAGAAACAGATATGAATTTAAACACAACAAATCAATCACCTTAAACAGAACTCAGGGTAACAATATAAATACCAAGAAGAAAGATAAGCTACTTGGTAGTGTAGTTAAATCTTGTGACACTCCTATGATGCTGATAAGACAAAGTTATGAGCTGATAAAAAGCTGAAGGTGTCCAACCAGACAACAGTATTTGCTGTTTCTTAGGCACTCAAGCCCCAAATCTGCCACCAGACCCATGAGAAAGGCCCATTCCCCTGGGTCATGGAATTTCCCATCAGAAATAGAAAATGGATGGGAAAACCAGCAGGAACCTGCCCAAAGTGTTTGCAACACGGCTGGGATCCATCCTCAGTGGCCACGTCTGGGGCTGGGCTTAAGCCTACTTCAATTAAAATGGGGGCACTGTAAAATCTCTTAGCCAGATTCGGTAATGTCATCAACATTTTTGTTTGTTTAATTCCATTTTAATGTATTTTTTTTGCTTAAGCTACAGACAACTTACTGTTTTTGAAATGTCACGTCAAGAGCATCCACATCCCAAGAAAACCGGATCTGTCAGAGGCTATAGCTTATCTTCTTATTTTGGGAATAACTAGTTTACCATTTCTGGTAGAAGAGCATTTAAGTACTTTCCCAATACTATGTGACAACAAGACCCAACTCCTATGCAAATATAAGCTTCAAGATAGCTCTGAGCCTTGGTGTTGATATAACTAACCAGCAAAGAAAGCTGACAGAGGGTATTAATTTTTCACTTCTTATTAATTGCTGCTAATTAACACTTCAAACAGAGTCCCCAGCCATACAGTTAACAGTAGCATGCTGACTGGCACGCAATCATCAACATTAAAGCAGCAGCACACACCGCTGTACTCTGATTTCTCTGTCAGTCTGAAGAAGTGTGTGTCCACCGGAAACCAAATTAAGGTCCACAAGCCACACTGCCAGCCTGTAAACCAGGGGATGGGAAACAACGGCAAAAGAAGCTCAAGGTGACACTATGCTAGGAAGGAACACAAAGAAAAATATTATGAAATGCGCTTGAAAGAGCAGGGAGGGGGGAAATTCCCTGTTTTCAGAGCGCTTGTTCATTGTTTCTGCACAGTGGTGGTTCAAACTGATCTGATTCTTCCCCATGCAGCTCCCATTCCCCTGGTATTTAATTCAGATCCAGACTCTTAATTCACAGGCAGAAAAAGCCAGCCAATATAAAAAGGAATCTCTTTTATTTCCTTCTTCCCACGGCTGTCAGTCTCAGCCACGCCATTATCTCAAACACACTGCCTTGTCATCTCTATCAATATTGGCTCTTTGTGTAAGTGCCGGCGTTGGCTTCTTGCACCATTTTACATTTCTCATCCCCTGTCGACTCCACCCTGGTTTTCCTTCCTTTGGAATAAGCCCCTGTAGGGAGAGGTCCCCTACACACACACAAATCCAGCACCCTACGGCTCTCCCTTAGAGTTAGTCCTGAAAAACTTACGTTCTCCCTCCAATACATGCTTGGTTCATTGGGATTGACATAAAAAAGGCAGGCTACTGGAACAGAGGATGCAAAAAAGATCTTACATCCTTGAAACCTCCTGCCTGGATAGTGCCTCGGTTGTGCCAATGTACCGCTGACTCCTGCATGGTGGAGAAGTGCAAGCCCCACTGCTTTCCCAAAGATCTGGCCCCTGACTCCAATATTCAGTAACATTCATTGGCTTGAGGTGGTCCCGCCTCTCAGTAAGGAGCCACTTGATGAGTACAGTAGAGCTGCAGTAAGGGCTGCCAGCATGACCCCTGTCCTTGATGAAGTGGTCCATTGGCAGCTGCAGGGCTCATTGCATTTCCAAGAGCTCGACCCTAGGTATAGAACCTTTGGGTTGGAAGGGACCTTTATGTTGGGTATGTTGGGATATAAGGAATCCGCATATCTTTTTCCACCCAAGTTGGAGGGAAGCTGAACATGGGGTGGCCCTAATAGCTTTTCCTGGTGAATGCATCTGCTGATTTCAGCCAGCGCCCTCAGAGCCAGGCGCTACCATGTGCAATTTCATGTAGTCTTTACCATCTCAAAGCCTTTTGCAGGACCATGAGTGAAAAAGCCACTGCAAAGCGATCAAGGAAACCATTTTGAAAAAATGAGACCAGGTCCACCTGCCTGAAAAATTAGGAAACTGCAGCAATTAGTGCTGAGGCTCTCAGGAAGCAGGACAGGACTGTGGCAGGGACTTGCCTTGCCTCAACCCAATCCCAGAGCTGAGACAGTCACTCCTCTTCTGTCCTACTTCCAAAATATCATTTTTTTATGTCCCCGCTAATGTCCCCCACCTGGCCAATTATCTTTACATGAGGTAAAATGGTGGCACCTAGGCCTGAGCAGATGGAGTAAAAGCGTAAAGAGGACACAAGTGATACCAGACCAGGTCCTGACTCCGCTGTTGACTTCACCTTTGGGTTTTCCAGCACAGCAAATCCCCATGAAACAGCACTACAAGAAGCGATGCCCACCAATCCTACCCACCCCACGTGGGATTTGCCTCACCTACTCACATCACTGGCCCTGTACGTGGAGTAGGGCAAAGGGACTCAGCCCTGTGGGACTAGATCTAGGATGCATGGGAGTTGGCCACCACAAGATTGATCTTGAATCATGCTCTCCCTCCTCAGGTGACCCACCAACGCATCTTCTCAGCCATGGGACACAATACAAGACCAGGCATCACCCAAGGGTCAAGGAAAAAAATACCGAGTTGGTATCATGCCCACT